TGTTGAAACAGGATTTAAACAATTTTTCTAAAATCCTTCAAAATTACCATAATTAAAGCAAGATTCATACAGATTTGTTGGATGTAAAAAGCTATGGGATACCCAGGTAAATTCTCTCATCTGTTCACGAAAGGAAAGAGAAAGATAATTCTGTTATATTTGGTTCTACTTTATAAGATGCTTCATGCAGATAAACATTATCCATCTTTCATGTTTGATCAGTTCTATTGCCTCATATTCAGATGATTTCTTTAAGAGTCTAGGAATTTTTAATGACACCATAAATATGATTACCTTGGCCCCAAGGACTACAATCATGGAAAAGAGGTTGGGTGATTGAGATACCTGGACGCTATGTAGAGAGAATTTTATATATACTAAGGAAGATATAGATTTTGTAGACTGCCAGTTAGTAAAGCTTGTAAGTCTTTTTAGGGTATTATTCAGTTAATCCAGAAAAAAATAATCTTTAGCTTTTAAAAAATTAGACTCATATCCAAAACTAATTAAAGAAAAAACAGGGAGGAAAAAAGAGAAGAAAATATAATTTTAGATTTTCATTATCCCACTAACCAAGCGTGTGTGGAAAAATGTGCCCAAAGTCTTTGTTTAAAACGTGTACACACATCCTGAATATTCGGTGTATGGGGAGTGGAAACATTCAGCACAGCTGAAAATAATCTTAATTCAAATAAGATCTGTTTTTTTTTTGTTTGGTTTTTTTTTTTTTTTTTTTTTTTTTTTTTTTTTTACAGCTTCTCACTTCCTCTCACAAGAATGATGTCACACATGAGTGGAGACAGACCAACAAACAGTTCTTTGAAACTGTTGGACAAACTATTTTATAATGCAAAGAGCAGGTTTCTGCATAGGGGATCACAGGAAGTGGTAACATTGGTTTTTCATCTTTGTGGTTTGCACTGATATACTTGGTAAAAGAAAGATGAAACAACAGAAGTGATCAAATGTGAAAGACAGGTGATATTTAACTCCTTAGAGATAGGGCATCTTCTAAATTACATTCAAAGCCCCTGCCTAAAATTCAAGAGCAGTTTAACCAACAGCAACCTTTAGAATTGCATGGAATTCCTGATATAATTGGTCTCAGGAAATGACATTTTGGCATTTTTGTTCATATTACAAAATTAATGAGACAAGGGTTGTTTCCCTATTATATTCCATGGCTCACCCACCCTTCTTGTTGATCTACTCAAAAGATAATGTGTGAAATGTTCTAAGTATAGCCAATACAGACAAGGCAGAATGAGGGCTGAATTTCAGAAATGAATCATATAATGAATTATCCACAAGTTGAGAACTTCTGAATCTTTTTTTTTTTCCCCCCAGAAATAATGAAAGCCTCTCTCAGGATAGGATTAATGAATTCTGCTTCCATGCTGGGGATTCATTGCTCGGAATCTCTTCCACAATCTCCTCTTACCCCCAGGAAGTGAAATTTCACAGGTAGTTTCTGTTACAAGTTCTTAGGTATCTTTTGGTGAAATCAGACATACAAAAAGTCCAGTGCAGGGCTGAGTTTAAGCATAGAAACAAACCCTAAACACATTATTTTCAAGAACTTCCCAGTAGAAAAATATTTTCTCTAAGCATATCCAAAACTATGTAACTTTTCTCACAAAGATTACTTAAACTATTCCTTTAATTTACTATTCATCAGTTACAACTATTTTATCTAACCCCAACATCCTCAATTATAAATAAAACAAAGTCATTGTATACAATTATATTTTTCTTAATGCTGTTTATTATTTTATATCATTAAATTACACAGACTAGAAAATCACTATGAAGAAAAAACATGTTCTCAAAACCAAATAAAGTGTTTTAATGAAGACATGTTATTCTTCCAAATCAAAATGTCTAACTCCTTTTCTGTACTGTGGTATTTCAACACCATAGAAATAGTTACCTATGACCACATTACATCAACTGTTCTCTGTATGCCACAAATTCAAATTCATTGCAAAATCCAGGCCTCACATACACAGTAAAGATTACTTTAGCACACTTTTAATCTAATTAAAGCAAAACTCCTACAGAAAACAGATGAAAGTACTTTACAGATTGCAAATGGAGAGCTCTTGAGCAAGCATAAGTCAGTGAACATAGATGAGGAGCCTATATCTAAGAGCTCAGTTTCCATTATGATGCTGGAGTTTTCAAACACCCATGAACAAGCCTGTTCAGCATCTTCTGAAATCCTGTGTCCATCCACATCAGGAAGGCTGAGCTCTGCTCCAAAGCATCAGTGTTAATTGTCATGTTGTTGTTGATTGATCTTAACACAGCAAGACATGTCTTCCATGTGAATCACCATCATCTAAAAACAGGATTTCCAGGACTCAAAAGTTTGAGGCTCAAAGCATGAGCGGGTGCAATAGTTGTACCCCAACACAGATTTATACCACCAATCAGCAGTACTTAACTTTAACTGCTGCTTTGTAGGTTCATTCTGGTCTTGCTTGCCTGGCAATTTCTTCCTCTTTTTTTCTGGCATTATCACTACTCTCAGAGTAGGAAGTGAGAAATGCACTGATGACATAGAAGGTCTGTAGGTACATAAAAATGCTTTATAAATATTCAAAGCAATTTCACACTTTTATGTCCCTGAATTTTAGGCATTTTTAACTTTTTTAATGCTTGTTTCAGAATAAGCTTATTTATCAGTCTTGGAGCATAGTGTCTCCAGGCTGCCAGAATTCTGAAGTGTGTCTGTGATGCAGCCCTGTTCTGCATGACCAACCTGCATTCCTGTGGTCATAGCAACTGAACCACACAGCAACGCAAAGACAGCTTTCACCTACGTTATTGTTGATTCCACCTCTAGGAACACAGTACATCTGGAGCTGCCATCAACACTTGAAAGGAACTGTTGTTCTGAAGTAAGAGGTGATCTCTAGATCAGGCAGATTATCTACTGAAGTCAGTTGCAACTGGAAGGACTTGGCAGCAAAGTTTACATCTAAAAGTAGTGACCTATTCTTTAACAACCATGTTGTCACTCTGTTACTAATACAGATTCACTTCAGAAAGAGCAGATATGTGAAAACTGGACTCTGACTTGTTAAAGGATGCACTATCTTTCTGATTGCTTTACAAACTGAAATCATATGCATTCCACATCACACCACCATGCAACCGCTGGAGGAATGATACACAGAGATTTCTGTGTAATGCTGTTTAATATTTAGAGTAGTAAGAAAACTGTAAATTAAATGTACTTTTCAGAGAAAAAAAAAAGCAAGTTTCCCAAGACTGAAACTAGCTGGAATAACACAAACAACTCCTGTTACTACCAGGAGTACAAACAAATAAAAGACCAAACTAGTTATTGTAACAATTACAGCATCCAAATCAATGTGACCACTTCTGACCATGCTCTTTAATAACTCAGGACAGAAAAGAAAGTCTTACGTAAATAATCCCACCTACTGGCAAGACCTGTTTTATTCAGGTTGGGTACAGAGTGGCCTTGAAACACAAATAGGAACATTTAACTTTTACCTTGCACAGGCACTTTTTTTCCCTCTAATTGCCTATATGGAACTTGACCAACCTGCATTCAGTGGAAAAAATATATATATAAAAAAGCATAGAAACAACTGGAAAATCCTCATGAACTGGAAACACATACAAACCCAACAGTCCCATGGACCTAAGGCAGACTGCTATGTCATTTCTGAAAGTATGAAAACGCCAAAACTGAGACCTGAGCTATGCAAGTCTCAACTGTATGTTTAATGGAAAAAAATAACAAAAGATACCAAAACAGGATGAATGGAAGGCCAGTGAAACCTGGGATTCCTAAATCTACTAATTGCAGGAATATCTTTTGAAAGCATTAATATTGAGGAAGTATTTTCCATTGTTATGTACATTTCCCTGCATAGCAGGAAAACATAACATCATGAGATCTTAATTTATCCTGAAAAAAAAAACAAACATAAAAGCAAAACAATTCATGATAGTTTAATTTCAATAAAAAGAAACCTGGTGACTGTGATGCAGTGAGGGACCATACAGATGTTCTTTTGCGTGACCATTTCTTTCTTCTGGAAAGAAAATGACTGAAGCATGAGTGGAGGGTAGCAGATTGGGATGCTGCATTGAACCACCCTGGGGCCCTGGGCTCCCCATGCTTCCTCTGTTCTGCTGCAGCTGCTTATCCACCATACATCTCAGAAGGGGGCTAGTTAAATAAGCACAAAAAGTCAATCAAGGAGAGGAATAACACAACGTTCACCTCCTAGTTGTCACAAGCATTATTCTTAGATACCTACCTTTTCCTGTGGGTACTTCTTTTTCAACTTTGGAAGCAGTCTCAAGCTCATCTGCTGATAATCTGCTGTAAAGCTCTATTTTTCTGATGCACCATTTTAGCAAGCAAAGACAGCTCACAAATGAGGCAGACAGGCACCAGAGACATCAGGCAAATGCCATCCCTAAACTCCCTTAGTCCAGTTTACCAGGCCCTAACTCACTCATAGCTATGTGATTTCATGCCAGGAGTCAGGCATCCAAAATGTGGATAAAGTGCAATCATAAGTCACAACAATGAGTTTCCTTGTTTCTGAGAGACACGCTTTGATCCACAGATTCTTTTTAAATCCTTCCATAAGGCAACGTGCCTATTATTTTTAATACATAAGTATTTGTTAGTATCTTGTTTTAATCATTTAAATACTATACAGTTAAAAATTAGTATCATACCATATTTTTACTCTAAGCAACATCATGGTTTTACCTGCATAATTACTGTGAACAACAGGCCCATATATTCTTTTAACAATATCTTGTATGTTAAACAACCTGGAATCTTCAGTTATGTGAATACAACTCACTCGTTCATGACCAAATCCTTTAAGTAATACAGGACCAAAAGCATCTACTGTGGCATCTGGAATAACCAATATGCTTACACTGGAAATTATTTATATTTGTGGACTATTTATGTCTAAAAGCTCAGTCTTATAACGAAGTAACTGTCACTTCAAGTTTTATAAAATTCAATAAATATGCAGGATATCACAGTCTTCACCAAAGATCAAGGAGCCCAAAGCAAAAACCTTATTGTCTGAATCTAAGTGATGTTATTGACTTCAAGTAAATTTTTCACACGCAAAAATATTTGCAGGACTGTAGCCAAAATTTGGAAATGAACTTCAAAATTATATAATGTAATCTTAGTAATTCATTTTATTAAAGTATTTTATTTTACCTTTTTTTTAATTATAGCATTCTAAATACCATTCATATCTATATTACATTTTAAAAAAATAATTAACAGAAACACATAAATTATGCAAACACTAACAGATTTTGAGTGAAGAGAAACTTTCCAAGAACAAAGGGGTAGAAGTAATGTCTCTTCCCATAAATTTTTTAAACTGTAACTTTCACTTGTGTTAAGAATCCATTTGAGATATAAAAATCCATAATTGACATAGTATTTCTGACTATTGCCACATTCAGATAAGAGAATGACAATTATTATAAACTATCTCAGAGTATAACCCATAAAAGAACTGGTGACCAGATCAGATGTCACCATGATTAAATAATATTATTCAATAGCACCTAGGGATGCCTTGCGTTTTACAGAATAAAAACTCTGTAGTATTAGAAATGTACATAATAACTGTCCCGCAAAACAGATGATGCCATGAAGCTTTTGCTGCTCACTGGTTTTTTTACTCTCTACTTATAAGCAAAACGCTTTCCAAAGTCTTTTGTGAACACAGTTCTTCACATGATACCTTGTCAACGACCAGTTAACCACTGGTAGCGCTAGGATGCAGTGGTTTGACTCTTGCTAGTCTGGAGAGGCCAAGTCTAAGACCATGAGTAGGTGACTTAACCGAAGCGTATTTCCCAATGTTATTAGTGCTTCCCGATGCAGCTGAAAATAATTTTAAAACAAAAAGAAGGTGTAAGCAGTTTTAAGAAAAGAAAGCCTAACTCCTGTCTTTTTATAGCATTCAGAGCAGAACAAAAAAGTATTATAAAGACATTGTAATAAGGATAGAACAACATACCACAAAAGCACATAAAAATCAGCATACTTGCAGGGAATCAATCTATTTGGGAGCCAGTGCAGCAGGTATGGCACAGTTTTAAGTAACAAGCAACACAACAGAGAAACACCACCATGTGGCACTGGACAAGCACAAAAACATTGTTCCTGGTCTACTGTGCATTTTCAGGTGCACCACAACAATCACAGAATCAAACACAAAATCAAGTGACAAAAGAAGGCTTGAGAGAAACGAGTCAAACAGAACATTAATGTGTGCATTAAAGGAAATTAACTATTAAGGAAAAACAAAGTAATAGTTAAGACTCAGCAGCAGCACCTTAAACATTCTGATAACGTAAAGCTTCTAAGTATTTGCTTTACTAAGGCAGTTAGAACGCTTCAGCACATTATTATTATTTGTTCAGAATATGTAACAATACAGCATATCAAGAGCTTTCTTTATCTCTGGTATAAGAGAGACGAGGCCACAAGACAATCTCTTGATTAAGATCTGCTTCACACTCTGGAAAATATTTCATTATCCTTCCCACATAAAGGAGTTAAGGATAATGCTGTAAGAGGAAAAGAAGCACGAAGACAGCTTTTTTTTTTTTTCCCCCCTTTTTTAACCTAAGGTTAAAAGAATACCTTGCATTTTAAGAGGGCAGTAGTTGTTCCAAAATGCTGTTTGTTTGTCTGCTTTAAGTGTCTGTAATTCTTTACTAAAAACAACCAATGTATCTTTTTACAGTTACAATCTCACAGGTACCTGGTGGTATCCATTTAGGCTTCTTCTCTGTTACAGGACTTGATGCATGTAAAGGCCTTCCAATTGGTTCTGAAGAACTGGACATCTGTGTTGGCTCAAATTTTAGTTCCGTTACCAGTGAAGAAGGAACTACAGGCGATACTTAGAAAATAAAAGCAGCCTTAGAACAATACTTTTACAGAGAAATTGTCACACTATATAAGATGATAGATAGATCCCTTTACAGCAAGACTTCTCTGAATTGAGTGAAACGAATGTGTTAGTAATGCCTTATCTTCCAAACAACAATATATATTTAAACAGTCAGTCCTGTTACATGCTGGAATTTCAATACTAGTTTGTAAATAAGCACTATAAGAATTTCTTGTTAAAGATGTTCCAGATGCTAGATTGCTAAGAGCTAAGATTCTTCAGTTACCTATTCATAGCAAACTATTCCCTGTCATAAATAAAACTAAAGATAAACTAAATTATGTATTGCAAACTCAGTATTGAAATTAAAAGACATTATCAAGTCAGACACAAGATGAACACAAGGGTAAAAATTTTCTTAAGCTATTTAGATGAAAGTAAATACAGTGAACAACTTAAGTCTGAAAAAGTTGCATATTTAACACTTTCACCCAACAGTTATTAGTACTAGCATTGTTTGGCTAACCTTGAATTAAAGATTCATATATGTAAATGCAAGAACATGCCCTGATATTATATACATACATATATTTATTTTTTTAAATCCTCAGATCACGTAATATTATTTAACCTTTTATTAAAAGCTAGTTTTAAAAAGAAAAACTTTTTTATAGTAAGCAATGTTTGTTTACTATAAAGCCTTTTTTCTTTCAGGATTTTTTTCTCATCGCCGTTTCCCTTTTACTCTGCATATAGCCTTATTCATCATAACTCTGACGTCAGTTTGTCAGCTAATCATATTTGTTCCTTCAGGTCTTTAAAAATACTTGTTTTTAAATAAGAAAAACAACGATAAGCATCAAACAAAAACCCTGTCAAACGTACAGACGTTGTTTCTTGTACACAAAAGGAACGTTTCATTTCAAATTCCTAGTAGAAACTTACCTGTAATATTAATCTTGGATGTTGGAGTCTTTTTTTCTTTTTCACCCTGCCTCTTTTGTTTGGTTTCTTTTTTATTTCCTCTGGTTTTCTTCTTTTCCATAGCAAAGTCTTCATCATCATTATAATCTGAATCGTCTTCTGATTCCTCATCTATAGCAACGAAAAGGGATTTCATCTCTTTACAGGAAATATAATTTATTATTACTCCAGGATCTTCTAATCTCACTCTGAATGTAAAGAACCAGTGTATCTTAAGCACACAGTTTTGTACATATTTATATGATGAACTGAGAAAGAAATAGCTGTCATAATATATTCAGTATTTATAGATTTATCTTTTTTTTTTTTTGGAAGTCAGCACACCCTGATAGAAACTGCAAATAATAATGCTTTAAACTGTTTAATTATCAAGTAAAAATATCCCACATGTGCAAGATGAAAGAGTTAAAATTATTTGATAGTTCTTCGAATTTTTACATATTCTTGCTCTAATGTGGAATCATAGAATCATTAAGGTTGGAAAAGATCTTCAAGATCATCTGGTCCAACCACCCCCTACCACCATTGTCAGCCACTAAACCAGTCCCTAAGCACCACATTCAACCTTTCCTTAAGCAAACCCATTCCAAGAAATGCCTCCTCATTTCCAACCTAACCCCCACCCCCAGCACAATTTGAGGCCATTCCCTCTAGTCCTGTCACAAGTTACCTGTGAGAAGAGGACAACCCCCAGCTCCCCACAGCTTCCTTTCAGGTAGTTGTAGAAAGCAATATGGAAATTTGGAAAAAATGGAAATATGAAGATATGGAAAAAATGGAAAAATACTTTGTCAAAATTCAGCTGCACAAGTCTTAAAGCTTTACTATTTAAGAAAGTAACAGACACTGGCAAGTCTTAGAAATAACTTTCTGACAGCAATATCTAGACTATCCCCCAGATATTTTCACTGGTAATTTTGGAAGTATTTTCCAATAAGACTTGCAGTACAGGACAAAAGATTGGATACAGACATGTTAACAACTGGGGGATAACAAAGAGAGGTGTCTACCATGTTTTCTAGGCATTCAATAGTTGGCTCCTACCAGAATTACAGCGATGGGCTAGACTGGCATCCAATCAGACACAGAAAGGTTTTCAGACAGATGAGAATTGGAAGAAGGAAAGAAGGGAGGCTATGTCTTTACTAAGCTTAAAAAAAGCCAGTACTGAAAGCACTTAACACCTGACAGTTCTCCAGATTCAGTTTTGATGCAAACCTCAGAATACAACTGCAAAAACAAGCACTACAATTAAAATATAATGCTTTGGTAAGAGGGGAGGAAAGATACATTAGAAGCAGTACACACTTTCCTGCATATATAACCTCAGTGTAAGTAATCACAAGTAATCACATTAAAAGAACTCTTAAGCATATGGTTTCTACAGCCTACCTGGTACAGACTCTCGCTCAGAGTCAGTATCGTGCTCTCTGTCATTACTGTCAATGGTCAGTGACTTCTTCTGATGTGACAGAGCTTTAGATGCTGCCAACCCTTGCCTACAGCCACTCCTAGGTATGTCATCATGTAGAACCTGATCAAGACCTAAAAAACAGAAGGTGATCTAATTAATCCAAATTCACAGTAACTCTGCTCTCTCTCTCTGTCAAAAAGAAGCAGGTTTTGAGTCTTAGGGCCATGAGCTCATTTTTGTTTTTTGAAGTACACTGTTAGACTAGCACGCTATCTGCACATGTTTTCATGTGATTCTCATTTTATAGAATCACAGAATAATAGAATGGTTTGCGTTGGAAGGGACCTTAAACATCAGAGGTGTACAGAGGTGTAAAGTACAGAGGTGTACTCAATGCCACTTAACTGGCAAAACTGTTCTATCTAGGAATGAAAGTTATCAGTATTTATCTGTAATCAAACTAATGAAAGTAGAGAAGCACAAAAATAAAATCAGGAATATGAAAAAGCTGCCAGTGGCACAGCATATGTTTTGGTCTCATCTACCTGTTGCTTTGACATTTTGGACACATTAAGGGGCAGCGTTTTTCCAATTTTAGGACATTTTAAGAAAAAAAATGAATGCATCCCTCAAAGTTAAGAATATTTTAAAATAAGTAAGCTTTTTTTCCACATAGGTGAAAAATAAAATCCATCAGAAATAAGAGAAAAACATATTTAAATGTAAATTTAAATGCTATTTTTGGAAAGATATAATATGAGAACAACTTACCTAAAAGTTCACTGTCTACACTGCAGTTGGTAAAAACAGGTCTCCTATTTTCTGATTCAATTTTCTTACCTGTTTTAGGATCCAGAAAATAAAATTAAAAAAATACATTGAACACTAATATTTGAAAATGATGTTTTAAAAAGTGAAGATATTAAGAAGTGAAAGGAGCATTTTTATCTGTCTGTAAACAATCTATTTGAAAAGTCTTATAGAAAAGTTACTTTTCTCACAGAAAAAAAAACTTGAATGTAAGAAGACAGGCACAAGCTAGAAATTCTCATTTCTTCATAATGACATCTTGAAATAAAACATGACTTTCAAGCTATTTCGTTGCAAAATAAATTCAGTCATGTCAAAATTCACTACATATAAATAGAGTGTTGCATTGAACTGTAAAATAACCTTGTTCTTCTGAATTTTGCACCTCAAGGATATTTGTTGGTTTTTCTTTGACAGATAAGGCTAAGGCAACTTCCAGATCTCTTTGATAGAGTTTGTCATCCAAGGATATTCTGAAAAAACAAACAGGTTAAGTAATAATACAATGAAATGAGTGTTACAGATCTATCTCTGACTTACTAAACTTTGAGTTCCAGTGTTTGTCAAGAAATTATCATCATACTATGAATTACTTCTTGAAGAGACTTCAATAAAGTAGAAACTAATATTTAAAGCACACTATACTTCAAAGTACGATGGTGTTGGAACATTGTATGTATAAGACCTAATAACTGGTATTATCACAGGAAAGGCTAATAACATTTGCTTGAAATACCGCATTGAAACAGAACATTGATACAATACTTTACCATCAAAATAATCAGTTTTTTTTATTGACACTGGCTCTCTATTTTCTATTAAACTTTAAATATGTTTTTTTCTAAGGAGTCAAACTTGTCTTTGTAGTTATCAGTTATTCAAGTCCTTCAGTAATATAGAATTCTTACAATTAATTTGCACTGTAGAAATATCAAGACAAGATCAGACACCTAAATCTGTTTCTGCATCTATGCAGGTAGATTGCTGTAGTTTAAAGCTGTCAAAAACAATAGACATAGTTCACTACTGACCTCAGGCAACATTTTCTGACCCTATGTAAAGTTATTATACCCTTGTTTTGCAACTACACCATTAAAGCTGAAAATAATTACCACACTAATATGTCGTATTTTTACTCTCAGCTGTTTAAAACTCTAGAAAAAAAACTAACACAACAACAAAAACCACCACAAATACTACTATTGAAATACAGCTTCTTTCTTCAAACACAGTCAACCACGTTTCAACACTTCTCACCTTTTACTAGGTGCCTGCTTTTGAAATGGAGTTAATTCTTTGTGTGTTATTTTTTGCTTCTCTTTTTTCTCCTTCTTTGGTTCCTTCAGCTGTGTTCTGGATTTTTTGCTTAAAGGTGCAGCTATACATGCAAAGTCTTCATCTATTTAAGAAATAACAACAAATAGTAATTAGGTTTCCTCCAATATATTCTTCCATGTGGCCAAAAAGAAGTCACTCAACCCAATTTCATCATACACTGAAAATAACACCAAACATAGCCTTTTTGACATCAACACTATTAGAAAGAAAAAAAAAGAAAAAGAAAAAGTGTAACAGTACTGTTCTTAAAAGTATTTTTAATGAAAGTTTAACATGACTTCTTTCACATCTGTTTTAATGGTGATCATTTGTTACCAGAATTTCAATAACTAAAGTTTCACCTTTTCATATACAGAACAATAATTTTTATAATATCAATCATTGTCATTAATCAGTTTTAGAGTCTTGAGGTTTTGTGAATTGTTCCCATTAATGACTCCTGTTCATTAGAAATGTTCCTGCTTCCCTTTTTCTAGCTTTCTCATATTGCCTCTTAGCAAATACAATGTATTTTCTTCAGTTTTCCAAGAAAATTAGAAGGCATAGAAACCACCTTTCTTCCAACTGAAGACACTGCAGTTCACAGTACAAAATAAGGAAAAAAGTATAATGGTCTTCAGTGCTCTCTAAATGCCAGAGAACATGTACATATATATATGATCAATTCTGAGGAAACAAACAAACAAACACAAACAAACCATGAGGGACAGAAGAAAAGTGACTTAACTTTTGTTTAAATATTACAAACGGTCACTTAAAGACTAAGAAAAGTCATGCACCACATTTAAACTCATGAAACTAAAGCTCTGCACTAACCTGCAGGACTTGCAAGGGACCATCAACATTATTTACTTCACCTTCTCCTTCCCATCACTTCACACTATTCAATTCATCTCACAAACAGATGAAGAGCAAGCAGGAAAACAACCAACCAAGAGCAACAAAAAATCCATAGTCCAAATCCATGAAAGTAAGGAAACCCAAATTCAGTACCGAAAACATGTGACACCAATTGGGGCTCAGAGGAAAGAAGGACTGTCATGAAAATAAATAGCCTGCAATCTATTTTTCTTATCAATGAATCTCAACATTTGACTGTTAAGTTCTCACCCAGAACCCATCAAGGTACAGAGCTGCAATAGGAATGTTAGGTCTATGTACAGACAATCCACAATTCCTGACAATATTCTGGTTTACAGTCCTGCGAACTGATCTTCAGGAGGACATGGAACAAGCAATTCTCTCTGAAAACTAAGGCAGGGAAAGAAACAATTTTCTTGCAATAACACAGTGTATTCACTAGTTCCCTAATAAACTGTTAGCATACCCTGGCTTACAGTCATCATATTCCTGTTGAATCAGGACTTTTAACAGTGTGCACAGTTTACTTCCACTAAAAGCAGTAAGTCTTGTTGCTGAAGTGATTCATTACAAACACTCCACTGATGCTTTGGGTAGTGGCATTAGTGTTTGACATTTTTGTTACATAGAAAAATACATCACTTACCATCATCTTCACCAAATTCGGAATAATCAACAACTTTCTTGCTCCTGTGGCAAAACCGCACAGCGTTAATCATTTGGGAGTGAGAACCCTGACTTGCTAATACTTGACTTCGGGTAACTCAAGATTTTAAGGAAAACAATAACGCACGTTCAGATGTTTTACTGTAAGGTTATTAAGAGCCACAGAAGGGTTTGAGCTCTGCCTCAAAGCCACCCAGCCCCACTCCCCTGCAGGGACACCTCCCACCAGACCAGGTTCCCCAGCCTGGCCCTCAACACCTCCACGGATGGGGCACCCACAGCTTCTCGGGGCAACCCGATCCAGGGCCTTGCTGCCCTTATAGCAAAGGGTCGGGGTCCTGGCCGGGCCCCCTCAGCCGAGGGCGGGTAACGGCCGGGTAACGGCCGCCGGCTTTCTAGGAAACGCCTCCCCCCCCCCCCCAGCCCTCACCTCCGCACCGGCCGCGCCGTTCCCGCGGCCATGACGACACCACCCGCGCCTCGCCCCGCACATTCGCCACGGGGCGGCTGGTGGCGAATCTGCGCCTGCGGACGCGAAGCTGGCGCCGCCCGCTCGGCAGCGGGGGGCGGCGGGGCGCGGAGGTGAGGCCGGGCGGCGGGGCGGCTCGGGGAGGGGGGCCGCGCGGCCCGGCCTCGGCCCGGGTTTGGGGTAGGTGGTGGTGGGGGTAAGCGGCTTGGGCTTGGTTTAACATCGCAGAATGGCTGGGGCTGGGTTAGTCAAAAATGAGATTAATATTTATGAAAAATGCAGGTTTTAAAGTTTTAAAAACCAGAAGTTGTTAATTGTTAACAAAACACGCTTTTTGTTAGCGTATTTGTGTATGGTTTTACTAGAATCTAACTCATGCACGTTTTATTGCTAGTTCACGAAACCAGCTCGAGGATGAAGCCTAATAAAGGAAACGTCTGCATTAGGGAGAGAGACTATGTGTACGAATTCAATGCTGGAAATCAGCATCTAGTGCTGACAGTGCCCCTTAAATTTCCTGTGCAAGAAAATGTCAGTCATCTGCATGGACGTCTAATGCTTCTGCACAACCTGCCATGTTTTATAGAGAATGGTAAGACTTGAATTTTTAAATTTTGAATTTTTAGTGTCACGTATTCATGCCCATAAATACCTTATGCCACACTTGAAGAAACCAAAAGAAAGGTACTTAGTAGAAATGTTTTATTTTTTTTTAATAGCTAAACATTTAAGAAAATGGCTATCAGTACTAGAAGGAAAGTGCCTAAGTAAAAGGTTTTCAGAAAAAAAAAATCTTTCTATGTTTCCTAGTTGATTGCTGATAACTTCCACTTAGATGGTTTTGTTGATGGGCCATTCTCTGTTTGTTATAATAGACCTGAAGCAATCTCTTAGTAAGTTCATAGAAGAGGAAACTATAAAAGATTATGATAGAGAAGCTGAAATGGCTCTGGAAGCAGTGAAATCAGGAAAAGTAGACATAAACCAGCTGGCAGATGCTTGGTCTAAAGCTTATAAAGAGGTAAGACTAAGGCTGAAAAATTAATGTTCAGAATTTGATTTGTGTGTATGTGTGTGCACATGTATGCAGACGTAATCACTTCTGTGAAGGTGCAAAATTACATGGAAATTTCATTTTTACAATTCTTACGATTTTTTTCCTTTTATTCCAAAGTGATTATTAGGTATTCACCCTGGAACTTATTAGTCAGTTTTTTCCTGAATTTAACTCATTACTGGCAAAAATTTAGTAGAGTTAAAAAAACAAAACGGAGAAGTAAAATAGATAGTGACTGTCAAACAAAATTAGATCTAGGAGTTATGATACATTAGAATCAAAGAACAAGATTTGCGTTGATCCCATCCAGAATGTCAAACATACCAATGAAGTCTCCTAAAGAAAACTGTGAACAAATTGTATGCCTTGATGAACATGAATAAAATGAAATTAGCTTAACCTTTAAGAAGAAAAAATCTGCATTGGGTGAGCACAGGAATGTTTCAAATAATTGAAAGAGTTTACCCTCTTCTGCTCTGAAGGTTACTATGAATAGGTTAGGCAAACTCTTTAAAAATTTATTTAAAATCTTGCCTCAGTGCAAGGATTATGATTTTATCATCTCTTGACATTTCTTCAATGTTACCATCTAAATTTATCATCTGAATCTGGTGGGAATCACAGCAAATACAAGGATCGTATCAGTATAGAAGAGCCTGCTGAACTGGCATCTATCTCTGATTATCTCTTGTTAATGAAAAATTGCTTTTCTTAAGTCATTGCTGTTGATCACATTGTAGTGACATCAGAGTTTGGTCCTCCTTTCTAGTAAGATGTTTTTCTTTGCGCAGATGATGTTTTGGACCCTATCTAAACTTCATCAAATGCAAATGATGTTGTGCAGATTTATTTTTTTGACATATTTTTTTGACCTTAAATACTTAAAATAGTAAGTGCTAAATTATTCTTCTTTTCACGCTGATGGTGAAAATTGATGATTCTTCACTGTTGGCAAAACCATAATACTTCTGCTGCTAGTTGCTTTGAAAGAGAATATGAGAAGAGAGAAAATGATAAAAGCTAAAGCAGAATACAGACAGCTCAAATCAAGGAGATAATTCATGTACGTTGAAGGACATGCATCAGTGTGAATGCCCAGTTGGTTTTGCCTCCCCATTATGAGAGATCATTGTTTTATATTATGTGGTGACTTTAAAGACTTCTCTCTTATAATTTTTAGACAACATTAGAATATGCAAAACCTGAAGAAACCAGCTGGGATGAAGATTTTGCAGATGTTTATCATGATCTGATACATTCTCCAGCTTCTGAAACACTGTTAAACCTGGAACACAATTATTTTGTTAGCATCTCGGAATTAATAAGTGAAAGAGATGTGGAATTGAAAAAGCTTCGGGAAAGGTATTCTGCATTCTTTTCTTCAGTTGTCCTACAAAATACAGGTGCATACTAATGGATGTATACAACTCATATGATAGTGCTTGTCAATTTATATTTGCCAATGTAAGCCCTATTTTAGTTTTGTATTTCCCTCTTTAAACTTAGTCATATAATGCTTCGTTTATATTGTTAGGCTCAGCTATCTTCCACTCTCCTCAGGCACTGAAAATTACACAAGCAAAGGTCATCTGATTAGTAGAAGGTTTGATTTTTTTTTTTTAAACTTAATTTCCACTGCTGTTTCATTTCCATTCCTATCGATGTTTTAAGTGCTTAGGTTAAGTATGTATCATGCTTTGCCATTATTGTAATATAATTTAAATAAGAAATTGGAAGTTCCGCAAGATGAAAAGATGAGGAAAAGATTTGAACAAACTTTAATTCAGAAACTCTAGAAAGAGGAAGTTTGTAAAAGTCCTTGTGGTCTCCCCAGTAAGCTTGCAAAGCTGCAGGTGGCTGCTTTGTCCACGAGGAGGAGCAAGTGCATTGTGTGTTTTATTTTCTCCCCCCTCCTCCCCCCCCCCCCCCCCCGTGAACTAAATAGGTTCCAAGAAATGAATGGACACAAATATATAGTATAGGTACTAGCAACGAATCCTGGCAATGCTTGTGACATGCCAAAATATCCTTAGTAGGTATGTTTTCTAAGGGGTAGTACCCTTTGTTTTTAAGCTCACGGTATACACCTGTTTATATAGGTTCTTTCTAGTGTACTTCCAGAATTAATTTTACATATTTGTAGTTTCTTTCTAACACTTCTGAATATCTTATATATTTCTAATCTGGGGATAAAAGTTGCAGTAGTGTAAGCATAATGGTTTTTACTGCTTACTGACTCTTCTCAACTACATATATAGAAAAAAGAGCACTTAGTATTAAGAGCAGTAATCTTGTACAGCTCCAGTGTGATAGAGCTGTGTATTGACTTCAGTGGAATTTATTGTATCTGCTTGCTGTAATTGTGAAAGTTTGTATTTTGATGACGGCTGAGACTATCCCACTTGAGTGAAGATAATGTCCTACTTACACAGGAGTTGATTTGGAATCCCTGACCCTCAAATTTGTTTAGTGGATATTCATTACTAAGTCTTTGTTAAAGTAAATTGATTCATTGTTAAAGATGGGGTGAATACAAAAAGACAAATGAAGCCAGGGACACTGAGGAAGACAAAGGAGAGACGAGATATTTGGATGAATTGATGATAGCAGTACAGCCTAGCGATTATAGCTCCCCTTTTTGAATGTAGCTTGAGTTGGAAACTCATCTGGCTGTTAAAAATAAGTGCGTTTAGCCTACTTCCTGGTGGTTACCATGTCTGCATCATTTGTGCTTGGTGGCAAAAAACAACACAAGGAATCGAGTAAGTCCATTTCAAAATAACAGTTGTCTCTGGATTATGGTATCTAGCCTGGGCAAGAGTTAAAAAATTGTATTGGTCTTTTTGTTTTTAACAGGCTTTAGTATCTAGAAATTTTATTTGATACATCGTATGGACTCTAATTTATTCTTAATTGAAAGGAAAAAACAAACAGGACTTGCTTTTTAAAAATAATAGCTATTTTAAATTGAAAATATGTATGGTTTTAGCATAAAAGTTGAGAGATCTAGTTTCTAATTGCTTTCAGTAAAAGAAAACTATTCTTCATGTTCTGGGACTGAAAACTTACTGTTTTTTTACTTTGTTCGGTGACTTTTCCATTATTTTTGGATCAAATTGTTAACTCAAAGGAGTAAAATAAATAACTCCTCTCTAACATTGGCAGCATTAAGTGTCTGACTAAATAGCTGTTGTAAAATGCAGTTCATCCATTGCACTGTCATATACTTTACTTCCTATCGGACTCTTCAGAATGTTCCCCTTGTAAGGTCTTCTAGATCCCTCCCCCAGTCCATCCTGCGTAAAGGGATGCTTCTGTTGAGAAGAGCTGTTGATTTTTCTGTGTCCTGGTAGAAAAATAGACAACAAACACAGTAATTGAATTTCAGCAAGGACAGTTCAGACCACGTATTAGTTAAAATTCTTCAAATAATAAGGACAGTGGAGTGATCCAGATTAGAGTATCTAGAGAAACTGTCTTATCTTGTGGACATTTCTGCAGGAAGACTTGAAATATATGGATTCTGAGTCAAAAAAAAAAAAAAAAGCAGAAGGATAAAGTACTGCGTGACGTATCTTTCAGCTATTTGCTGAATTTTCTATAGAACTATGGAATGGTTTGGATTGGAAGGGACCTTAAAGATCACCTAGTTCCAACCTCCCCGCTATGGGCAGGGGCAACTTCCAGTAGACCAGGTTGCTCAAAGCCCCATCCAAACTGGCCTTGAACCCTTCCAGGGATGGGGTATCCACAAACTCTGGGCAACCTGTTCCAATGCCTCACCACCTGTAAAGTAAAGAATTTCATCCTAATGTTTAAGCTAAATCTACCCTCTTTTAGTTTAGAACCATTGCTTCTTGTCTTACCAGTGCATTTTCTGATAAAGAGTCCCTCCCCAGCTTTCCTGTAGGCCCCCTTAAAGTACTGGAAGGCCTCTGTATTATCTCCCTGGAGCCTTCTCTTCTCTGGGCTGAACAATCCCAACACCCTCAATCTGCCTTCATAAGGGAGGTGTTCTAGCCCTCTGATTATCTTTGGCCCTCCTCTGGACTCTCTCCAACAGGTCCATATCTTTCTTGTGGTGGAAGTCCCGGAGCTAAGCACAGTGCTCCAGGTGGGGTCTCATGACAGCAGAGTAGAAGGGAAGAATCACCTTCCTCAGCCCGCTGACCATGCTTCTTTTGAGGAAGCCCAGGGTACTGTTGGCTTTCTGGGTTGCAAGCGCACATTGACGGCACATCCTCTGCCAGTTTATTGAAAATGTTATTTGTAAATCTGCGTTTCCTTTCCTTTCAGACAAGGAGCAGAAATGGATAAGGTGATGCAGGAGCTAGGGAAATCTCTAACAGACCAAGATGTAAATTCATTAGCGGCTCAGCATTTTGAATCTCAGCAGGTAATCTTAATGTGTTGAACTAGAACACATCATGCAAATAATTGCTTAAAAAGAGAACCCAAAACACTCAAATTATGTCTGTCTTCTTGTTAGGATTTGGAGAACAAATGGACCAATGAATTAAAACAGTCCAGTGCTATCCAGAAGCAGGAATATCAGGAATGGGTGATAAAACTTCACCAGGACCTTAAGAATCCCAACAACAGCTCAATCAGGTATTTAGTTCCATGGTGACATTTATTGCTGTCTCTATTAATTCAGAAGAGGTGGTTTTATGTACTCTTTCTGTCAAAATAGCTGCTTAAATAACATAATCCAAGAGAATCAAAGGCAAATAAACCATCATAATTAAATATCTACATTTTTAGACCTTTCTTCTTTGCGTAACATTTTACAACCATCCTGTACAAAGAAATGTTCTCATACACTGAATTAGAGTCTGAGCTGTATAGAGCTTCCTCCTGTTTTGCCTTATTTACATTGTCTTTTTTTAAACGCTTTTTCGTAATGCTGTTATCACATAATTACATTACACAGAATAATTAGAGTTTAATAAGTGGTAGAAGTGTCACACATTTTGAATAACAAGCCTTTTTTTTAATGTTTTATATAGGCATCGCTGTACAGCTAAAATATTTGGAGTCTTTCAGTCTGTCCACTTATAGTGAGAGTTGTTTTCTTGTTGAGGATATAGTAGGGAAACTGAAACTTGTAACTTGAGGAGAGCCCTATGCTGTATCATTAGTGTCTACCACCTTCGTTACTATTTGGAAAATGAAAGGAGTAAAACCTGGTGCTTTTTCGTGTCTCATTAGTAGAAGAGCCTGAGTAGATTGTTTAGATGTATACAGAAAGGATTTATGGGGAAAATGACACCTTTGCTTAAAATGGATGTGAGTGATAAGATGAAAATGGCGTGGAACGTAAAGTATGAAATACTTCACTTCCTCTTAAGTGTTCACTTTTGGTATAAGAAAGCAGAGTGTATGGAACATGAGGGAAGAGAGAGAGAGGAGGGGAAATATGTTAGAAGATAATATACGTGTAGATTTCTCACTATTTTCCTCACGATTGTGTCTGAATTTCTGTGTTTTGGAAGTCTTTTGCAGTTTGCATGTTAGTCCCAGAATATGTTCCTAGGACTGCATAGCTTCCAAGCTTGTACAGTGTGGCAAACTTGGCTTGACTGGTTTTTTAACCTCCCATTTTGTGTGTGGGGAGGCAGGTAGAAAGAATATCATATCCAGGACCTTCATAAATAAAGTTTTGTGTTCTAAATAGACTGAGATTTTTTCCCATTTATTTATATGTTCATTTCATTATAACTAGGTATTGTGATTCTTATTGCTCAATCGCAAAATGCATTACAAAGAAACCTGATGATATAAATCTAATAGTGAAGTTTACTCTTCCTGCTGGTATAAGGATGAAGTGTTACGTACCAGAAGGGCAGAACTTCAGATGAGTAGAGTTCGTTCAAATAGGTTTAGTTTCTTGGCTTCCACAGACTAGCTGAGGAAATTTTGGATAGAGTTTGCAATACGTTGTTCATTGTCAGCAAAAGCTAGTATAAACCTATCAGTAGGTTTCTCATTATTTTAGTGATGAAATTAAGGTTCAGCCCAGTCAGTTGAGAGAATCTGTGGAAGGAAATGGAAGAATTTATGAAGAGCAAAGACTTTTAGAAGAAAGTTTTACTATTCACTTGGGTAAGTAAAATAAACTGACAGTAAATCCAAAGATAGTAACTAATAAATTATGCATCTAACCGTGTTTTATTTACAGTACTTAACTATTAATATATTTATTATTCCCAGTTTGGGAGAGAAGTACAATACAGCATAAACTGTATCAGTGTCTACCTACCTGAAAAATACTCAATGGAAAACATTTTAAAAACAAATTTGTATCCACTTTAGCAAGGTGACTAGTATAGAAAAACATGTTAACATCAATACACATAGTGATTAATAAATTAAAATGTGGGTGTTTATTTAGTTCCCCAAAAAAATTAACAGAAAAATGGATGCTTGATTTTTTTTTTCTTTTAGTATTGTTTAGGTAGTAGAGATTTCTTATGCTGTCTGTTTTGACTGCACTCAAGTAGTCCTTATTTTGTAATTTGCTGATATGCATATAAATTGCATATGTGGTTAAGAACTTACTTTGTATTATTGGTTATACTTTCCTTATATTTTTTTTCACAAAGCTTAGGGGAACATTTTGGTCAGTTTAATAATAATCGTGAGTTTCATCTTTTGCTGTTTGTATTAAATACCACTGTATTTAATGATACTGTTTGTATCGTTTATATTTGGTACAGGAGCTCAGTTGAAGACCATGCATAACTTGAGATTGCTGAGAGCTGATATGCTGGATTTTTGTAAACATAAGCGTAATCATCGAAGTGGAGTAAAGCTTCACAGGCTTCAAACCGCAATGTCCCTCTACTCAACTTCCCTCTGTGGCCTGGTATTACTGGTAGATAATCGTATCAGTTCATACAGTGGCATCAAAAGAGGTGAGTCCTCTGATGGAGTATATCGGGTCAGTGAAAGCCAGCATCGCTCTTTGAGACTTGCTGTCTTCTCTCACAAAAAGTATTCACATTAAAATTAAAATTTACTAGAGTAAATGTTTTGCAAGTGGTATTACAAAAGGGTAGGAAAAGCAAAAAGAAATGGATAAGAATGGGGGACAGAGCTGTGCTAAGTAACTTGAACTCTGATATGCTGTTAACTTTTGTATCTCTGTACTAGGTTTTGCATTTGAGTAAGTAAGGTGTTAGGGTGGGCACTTTAATGTTAATTTGCCTGCCTTACACAAGCTGATAATCAGTAGGGTCTTCTAACTCTCTAATGTTAATTTGCCATACAATGAAATACTCAAACTGAAGTTTTAAAATTGGTAAGCATGTAGCATATTTATACATTTACTTTAAATATCTGTATCACCATAACTTCCATTAACAGGGAACAATGGGAGTAAAATAGGAGTATTAATTACCTACTCTTGGAAAGTTTAATTAATAGACACTTTAAGCGCACATCTTTTGATTAACTGGTCTCTATGATGGTGTTCTAAGCCTAACCAATGACACGTGTGTTTGTTCTTGTTCGAATTTTGGCCACCCAGGCTCTCTATGAACAACTTTGTAGACTTTGCCATCTTCCTCTTGAAATTTAATACCTAAATATTTACATATGAAATGTCTTTTTGACTAGAGACAGTATTACTTTTCATAATTCTAATATGCATTTTCTTGGAAAGGGGAGGAAAGTAGGCTTTGGTGCACTCTGAAAATAGTGTGGAATCAGGCTTGTAATAAGGAGAGGGAAGTGTATCTATTAAAATTCCAGTTCTATTTGTTTTGTATATGGTTTCCAAGTTTAATTCTCAGAGTTTTATTTCACTCTTGTACTCATTTTCCATTGCTTTTTGTTATTACTGCTTAAATATTTAAATTAACGGTGAAAATTTGTACATAAATCTTAGATGATCAAGAGAAAATGGACATATAGATAATACCACTAAACACAAAATTAGATACTGCAGCCTCAGCAAAGGGGAAAGTAGAGGGGGGAAATACGGGACTATAGGATAATCTATAAAATATAATCCTTAGTAAATTTTGATTCCTCTTAATTCCAAACAGACTTTGGCAAACTTAACTGTGAGCACTTTCCACAGCTGTCTGCACCTCCATTCTTTTTTAAAATGTTGCATTTAAATTGTCTCTGTTCTTCCAACTGAATCAAATATGCTACTTTAAACCACCAATGAACATCTGGTTGTGCTAAGACCTCAAACTACTAGAGGCAGCAACAGAGGTTTGGGTACGTTTCTTTATATCTACTGTCTGGTGAGAGTGATACCTTCTGGCAAAGGTACTAAATACCTTTGAGAAGAAAACTTGCTTTAAAATTGTTAAATCTGTTTGTTGCAAGAGCACTACGCAGAAACCATTCTCCGTACGAAAAGGCCTGTTAAAGAAAAATACATGTAAATGTGCTAGGGGCTTCAAAGGTTCATAACATTTGCAAAAAATGTTATAATAGAAGATATTTAAATAATACATTTATGTTGGTGTTTAAATAGGGAGGTAATGTCATGGGTAGTCTAAATTTCTGGGTTACAAAAGTGTAGAAAATGTTCTGCTTCTGTCCTAAAATGGAAAAACACAAACCTAATAGCTGTTGTTTGGCAATGGACTAGAATCACTCTCTAATCTCGAGATTAGCAAAGGTTGATATAGATGAGCTTCATGTGAGTATGCTGTTTATTCAAGTATTTTGCGTTGTTTTGAGCAAGACCAATCACTCAGCAAACGCTAAATGGAAAGTGGGTACAGTTCTACAAAGTCTTGCAACTTACTTGTTTGACCTAATTTGTTTAGATCCATCTCGAGGACCCTATTGAATGTCCTTCTTGTTTAGTATATATTTTGCTAGCTCAGTTGTCTTACAAACATTTTGATGTTGCATCTTTGGTGAATCTGTTATCCAAAGATGGTTCAGTTTGCCTCAAAGTTCACTATATATGTGAGATATTTGCAAGACTGAAAAACATGACTGCAGTGTTTTCTGGGTACACCATCTCTTACGATATCTAAACAACGACTAGTAAAATATACTTTTGAAATTGGACTTGGACCCATCTCTGGAAAACAGCTTTTAACAGGAAGTTGAACTTTTTTTTTATGATCTTCCAATGTCCAGATTTAATTCAGGTTCCTTTTTGTAAGCTAGAGGAATAGTCTTCTCATGTATTTTGTATTTATGCATTACCTAGCATGAGCGTCTTACATTAGGACTTTGTAGGGCTACTATGACTCAGATTTTAAGTAGGTATAGCACACTCAAATGGTAAACTAAAACTAACTTTAATTTTGATTTAAATAAGAGACTTTTCCTTTTTTTTTTTTTTTTTTTTGTTTCAAACAAAATGTTTCCTGGCCTTAGTTTATCTTGATAAACACAGAAAACACAGTCTTTTAGAATATGAGCTGCTTCTTCCTTTGATTTTGGACACCAGAACTTAAAGCATTTTGAAAATAGACTTTATGATACAGGGGATGTAAAAAGATAAAGGATATTAAGGTTTTCTTTATATCCTGCCTATTCCTGTTATAGCCTGTTCACAGGATTACATGGTGATCCTCAGATAATCAAAATACATTAAGTACTTTGGGATCTAATCCAAGTAGGTTCCTCAGAAGTAAGTCACGATTGGTTAGTATAGTTCATCTTCTTGATAATTGCTTGTTTTGGCAGCCATTAACTTAACATTGACAGTGATAACCATGCATTTTTTTAAAAATGGAGAAAAGGCTGGACATCAGGATACTGCGCTTAGAATATCCATTACAGGGGCAGTATGTTATGATCCTAATTATTAATTTAATTTTTCCAAGTCTGACATTGCTTATCAGGAAAAGAAACTGGCAGCTCTTTTCAGCTGATGGCACTTTTCTTTAGCTTTCAGATCTCTGTTTTGAGAACCAAGAGGAAACAACTGTAATCCAAACTTTCCAGATATGCTGTTTATGAATGTAATAGCTCTTGTTTTGCAAAACACACTGGGGTGCCATAGCTGCTCTTGGAAATATCTACTATATATGCTTCAATAAAGCATCACAGATCAAGGGACTGTTATTAATAAGGCATCAACACTTTAAGGATGGTAACATTTAATGCATGTATGTTTTACCTGCTTTGGCAGGGGGGTGTGGACCCAATGATCTCTTGAGGTCCTTTACAACACCTAGAATTCTGTGATCCTGTAATTCTTGCTGTTATTTTCAGGTTTATTTTTTGCATGGATTATTTTGTTTGAAGAATAACAGCACTGTTTCAAGTTGTTTTTTTCCAAGGAATTCATTTATTTTAAAAAAAAAAAACAACACTTTGTTTCTGATGTAATGCTTTTTTTAGGACTTAAGGTGAAATGCAGCAGGGCTTTTTTGTTTGTTTTGTTTTAGTTTTGCTGTTGTATCTGTCTTTGCTTAAACTGTATAACAGCATTATGTAATGTTACTAAGCACATCCTTATGACGTGGATTTAAATCTTTATTTTTTTCCTAGATTTTGCAACTGTTTGCCAAGAATGCACGGATTTTCATTTTCCTGGAATTCAAGAACAACTTGAAATTGTCCAGAAGGTTGTACTTAAGGCCAGAGCACAGCGTAGCAGTAAGTCGAAAAGACATCATGGTCAGTGACAACCAAAATTACTTTCCTTGAAATAGCATAGTGGTCAGTAGAATGTTTATAGTTAGGGGTGACTTGATTTCACTCTTCTTCATATCTACAAATCAATAACATGTGATGTTCTGGTTTGTCAGTTAACTCAGAGAGGTCTGCATAAAATCCTGTGTTCACTGACAGTATGTCCACATGATGTCATTGATTCCATAATAGACATAAATTTAGAGAAAAAAAAGTCCTTAAGTTCTGATCACACTTTAGCAGCATGGGAAATATGTAGGGTAATTATACTTTCCTCTGCAGCTTAAACTGCTGGTGACAACATGGACTTACCTGACTTGTATTTATATAGAAAATGAAAGTCAGAGCCTTAAAAATTGCAAATGTGTTACAACTTATTCCCCTCCATATAAATAAGTACTAAAAATGGAGTAATAAATTGACTATATGTGTATACTCTTTAGTATTGACCAAATCCTTGTGAATGGTTTACTTCGCAGTTATTTTTACAAATGGCATAGAAATTTTCTGACCACATGGTGTTAAGGCAGTACTTGTACATCATGAAGCTTTGTTTTTCTTGTAGAGAACTACTTGTGTGGTTTAAATACGTCAGTAACATGAATAGATTCATAAGAGTACATGGCGAAACAAGTTTTCTTAGGAGTCTGCATATTGCTGTAGTCTTAAGGAGAATTCTGAAAACTGTTTTTATATTGGTGATTTATGTAAATTTCTGTTAAAATTTTCCTTGCAATACTAGGAACAAACTTGTTTTAAATATATGCATTATTGAAAAAGCAATAGCAAGGTACTATGCAGTTGTGAGGGTAATTCAGAAAGTTTAGCATTCCATTTGAGAACAGTGTGTTTCCATTTGTCTGAATAAAGAGGTATCATAGAATGATTAAAAAAGAAAGCTTATAATTTGATAAGTTCATTTATAATTTCATAATCAGTTCAGCATTTATTGAAGTCGGCAGAAACAATTCTTGTCCAACCCTCACATTTATCCAACTTTATGGTGAAAATTCAAGCTGGATATCATCTCAGTACATTTTATATGATAAAGCATTAATGATAATAATTAACGATTAATACATGTTATGTTTCATATTTGTGGTATTTGTTTATATACAGGAAATAAAGAAAGTGGAACTGAAGATAAATCCAAGAATATTGAACGAAACCAGTCAAATATTTTACCAGGTGAGTTCCATTGAAGAGGTTTCCCCCCCTCTTCTTAGAACAAATTTTGTTTTATGGATGCACATTTTTAGCTCTAAATTCAGAACATAAATTATAAACTAAACCTAAGTTGACCTCAATCAGAGGAGAAGGATGTTCTTGTGGCTAAGGCAGAGAACTGGGTGTCAGGACATCTGGTTTCTATTCCCAGCTTTGCCACCACATCATATGACTGTGGGGCAAATCACTTCTCTATGCCTAAAATTTCTCTTCAGAATTTGAGGGGAGATAAAAAGATCTCTGAGGATTCTGGAAAAAAAAAAAGAAACACAAATAATATCAAATAACTTTGTGAAAATAACTATATATGTCACTGTTCTGATCCAGTAAAGCATTTTAGAATGTATTTTAACTTTGAGAATGTAAGAATGCATTTCTCTAAAAGAGGGAATCTGTGATTTTTACCATGGAAAGCTGCTGTGGAGTTTGAAGATGAATGCACAGTTGGAGGTGTAGGGGAAGGAGACAAATCCATACAACCCATGGGTAATAGGAGGGCTTCTTAAAATTGCTTTCAAGATTGTCTTAGATCTTGGTCATATAAGTGGATTATAAATCCGCTTTGATCCTTAATAGATAAATCCCAGTAAAATCTTGCTGCAGTGGGAAGCGTATCGTTACTATTAGATGGACATTGCTGGGGATTACTTTAGCCATCATCAGGAAGGAGTACGTACCCATTCTTCAGATAATCCAGTGCAAAGGAAGTCTTAACTGGAATTGCCAGTGAAAATAGGTTTGAAGAAAGATGCTTGTCTGTTGACTGGAACAGTAGTGGTATTGTATACCTGCTTTTTTGTTGACTCCAGTATAGATGTTTTGCTCTCCAGCGGAAAGGTAAGGTGCAGAGACCTGCATTTTACTGCCCATTTACTGCTTCTTTATCTTTGATAAATGAAAACTAAGCCTAAAAATCTCTCTGGCAAGATGTCTTCTTGAAAGCAGCTTTGTAACTAATCTTCCCATTGTTATGAATTGTTTTAAATTCTAAAGATCATTTATACCTCTGTCTTCTAGAATGTATTTGTTATTGCATAACCCACTATCCTTTTCCACAGACTTTTTGCATACTTTATTTTAATGCATCCATTTTTGGTATTTCCGCCTCCCACATCTGTCTGCAATTCAGTGCTTACATTATATATTTTGAGTATTACACCTCCTCTGTGTTTGCTTTTTTGTTTCATGCTATATATAGATCGTATCCGCTTGTTCTGGCACTGTTACATCTTATTACGCCAGGTGTCCCTGATGCTTGTGAAACTCATCAAAGCAGGGAAGTGTGTGTAGGATGAATGTAAAACAATCATGCTCCAAGAGATTTTAGATCAGTTAGTTTCTAACTTTTATGTATCTCCTTATGTACGTGTTCTGATCTGCTGTCTGCTTGTATTACCTTTTGTCTTAACTTACTGACCCTATTCTTACATTTCATAACAATTGTGTTTCAGTATAGGTCACTACTGTGATACCTTGCCTTTTTGGTTTATGTAATTCTGTAGGGGAATTCTACATAACACGCCATTCAAATCTTTCTGAAATTCATGTTGCGTTTCACCTTTGTGTGGATGATAATGTAAGATCTGGAAACATAACTGCTCGGGATCCTGCGATCATGGGACTCAGAAACATTCTCAAAGTTTGCTGCACACATGACATTACTACCATTAGCATTCCTCTCCTGTTGGTACATGATATGTCAGAAGTAAGTAAATTTAAAGTTTTGTTTTCTTCTTAGCTTCTAAGGTGCAACAATATTTTTTTTTTCTGGAAAGGATATGTCTCATTCTTGTTTAAGACAAATGGAGCAATTTATCCCAGTCACATGCTCCTGCCACATCATTGTGCTACCATTGGTATCTGTATAGTGACGTGAGTTAAGGAACTGAATCAGTTACAAGCTTTTCAGTCAGCTGAACCTCTTCATTTTTATTTCCATCTCCCTTTGATCCAGCTCAGTGCACGGTTCCAGAGGTATTAGTGAAAGAGGTGATAGGACTACATATTTAGATGTTAAAAAGATATTTTGTGGCAGCAGTTTTTGCTTAGAAACTATAGTTTGTAAGATGCTGATATAATAGTAATAGCAGATGCAAATTATAATTGCTTCTAGCTAGAAAAAAATTAAAACTAACTTTTTATGAGCAGCAAAACTAGCAAAGCCTGTTTTCTTAGAAAATTTGAATTCTGTACCCCTAAACACCATTCTTTATAACCTCAGCCCTGTGCAGCAGTAACAAAATTTCACCTTTGCTCTGAATGGTCTCCTTCTTCATGCCCTAATTACTTGCATGTTTAGTTTCTGCCCCAGAGCCCCCCACATACGAGCTGGAGAAGAAGAAGCATACTGCTGAGACTCAAGTGATATGTCACATCCATTGGTGACATAAGTGTGCTTATTCTGCAGAACTGCTGTATTTTTTTCTTCAGTGGGACACTAGTGTGTAGAACTTTTCTCTTACTCAACTGTATTTTTTTTTCCGTGCATAGTAAACTTATGATTTAATACCATTTACAATCTTTCCTCTGTCAGATCAGCTTCAAAAGATAACTGGCAGGGAAGAAAATGGAGGTGGGGAGAGATCCAGCAGACAGAAAGTACAGCCACATGCCGCACTTCCTTAGGTGACAAACTTACAAACTAAAAGAAATAAGGAGAATAAGATAACACTGCTGTTAATTATATCTTTGCATATGTTTACTTGCAATCTGTTATGTTGTTGTCTTTCTTTTAAAAAAAATTGGCACCAATTTCAAGACTGCCTCTCCTTGGAAAGTGCCTGACTCATAGCAAGAAAGAGGCTCATCATTGGATTGCTTTTAATAGGTGGAATAACTAATTTTATTTTTTTTTTACATAATTTTATCTGAACACCATGTAGAACTGGATCCTTTTGCAAGATAGGGGTCTATAAAGTTCAAGCAATGTTAAAAATATCCAATAATGAAGATTCTAAAGGATGTGCCTCAAAATGTGAACTTTTAGTAATAGATTTTATTTCAGAAATATATTTTTACATCTTTGGTATTAACACTTTTTGTATGCAAATGCAAGTAATCAACTTGCAGGACAGCAACCTGAGTTATTAATGGGACCCAATTACTGTGTTTCAGAAGTTTATAGAGCTCTTCTCTTAATCAAGTTGGCAAGTGACCCCATTAACCTTTTTTTTTTTTTTTTCCTTTTAAATACATATATACAATGAAAGCTAAAAATAACGTGTTTAAAATACAAATAGAGCACAAGACCAGATGTTCACCATGCTTTTAGGAAGGTGTTGTTGCTGAAATGTGTGAAACTGAAGAACCGTCTACTTGTCTGATGCTGGATTCTTAAAAGTCCTAAAATGATTCATCTTTAATATTAAGCTTTTTAAGTATCTGTGGAGTAAGCTGAAAGTGACCTGTATGATAAGCATAGGCTGAGCCAAAACTGAACTGCATGAATTGCATTAGCAGCATCGTTTATTACGGTGTTTTGCAGCTGGCTGACCTCATTTGAAACACACAAGTCTGTAACTTGTTGTTGAGGGAAGAGTGAATAACAACAGATTTCCGAAGGTTAACCTGAACTTGGTGCCTTCAGCAGCTCCAGTTTTGAATCTGCGTTTACCACCTACATAAAAAACATTTTTGTAAAGTGGTTAACCAGGAGCACAGCTGCAGAGATGTTTGCGTGCTTCGCTGTGGCAAGCATTCATCATGAGTTTGCTTTGTGTATTTCACAAATGTTTTCTTTTATGGATGGAAGAGTAGTGTTTATAACCCCACAAAAATGATGAGTGTATCAGTCTCAGTGAAGCTGTTACCCTTCGTTATCATTTAGCCTCATTTAGAATCATTTAGAAAAAAAATAATTAAGAATTCTGTTTTCCTTGTTTTTTCATGTTACTTCAACAACAATAACAACAGGGTTTTTTTGTTTGTTTGTTTTTGTTTGTTTTTTTTTCTTTTTTCCTGTTCTGATCATTAATTTCAGTAAAGGAAGGAAACTGTGTTTGATATTTGAGAAAGACAAAAATAGACAAGTTCAAATTTAGGACAACTGAGGTCCTAATGTCTGATCATTTTACTGAATCTAACATAAACTGAACTAGGGAATTAAATGGTTACAAGTAATCATTAAAAATGCTGGAGTTGGCATACTTCCTTGGTAGTTTCAACATAAGGGGTATCATATGCTGCCATCCATATAGCAATGTGGAAGAAAACAGACCTCTTCAGGGCTCTCAGGCAGCTGCCTATGTGATGATAAGTTAAGAAAAAAATGTTTGAAAAAAGTTGATATTAAGGGAATATAAGGTGTGCAGTAAATATTTGTGAATGTCATTTATACATGTAGAGAGATTATCAAAGAGTGTATTAACTTTCAGTTTTTCTCTTACTGTTTCATACCATGAAACATGCATAGATATACTTTAAATAAACACCTTGCTAATTCTTAACTTAACTGAAATTAACCATTGAATTTTGGTTTGAAATCTTTGTCCCATAAGAAGTGTATGGACTTAATGTTTTCATTACCTGGTTCTGCACAGACTTCTGCAGAGACTTAAGGATGGTCTTCTAGATTCAAAAAAGCAGCAACTCCATGCAGTGACTCTGTCACAGATTTCAGTGATGAGAAAGTTTGCAGCATATCTTTCTAATCAGTGCAATTGGCCTTTTTTACTTTTATCAGCTAAAGGAATGTTAACCTAACAAAAGATCTATTCATCCTGAAAAGGAATGGTGTGTGCTTTCTGTAGTGAATGAAACCAAGAGTCCCAGACGCTTTTTTTACTTGCTAGAATGCTGTTAACTAAAACTTACCGTATGTGATGGGGTGTTTGTTATTTTCCTGTCTCCTGTGCTGTGTTTTGAATTGGCACTTATCTGGCTATTAATTTCCACAATTGTTACTTAATTTACATATAGGGAAAAGTCCTGACAATGTGTCAAGATCATGATAACTTAAGTTTTTAAAGATGAATTAAAATCAAATCATTACTGCGTCATTCTCTGTTCTTGTGGCTTGCATGCACTGACATTGTAGATTCAACCTGTTATTTCCTTGAGTGACCACAAGATTTAACATCTATGTTTCTCTGAAATAGTCTGAGGAGTAGAGTCATATCCTGCTGTCTCAATCAGTCCTTTTAAGGCTAGTTTCTTTTATTGATTATATAATGTGCTTGTAAGTTGCCTTCAGAGCAACAGGACCTTTCTTTTTAGGTATTCATTTTTAACCTAAGCCAAAACAGTGATCAAAAGTAGCAATAAACTCCTACATTGCTTGTGACAGAATGCAAATGTGGGCAGATAAATTATAACAAAGACCAGCTATTTCTTCCAGAAAGGTTAGAAAAGAAAAAAAATAAATTGTCCAATATTGTTGTTTCTGATTCACATGTTGTATAGTCTAAAAGCAGCATCTATTGATGCAAGAATTTACCTCATGAAAAAAAAAAAGGTCTGTAAAGTTATTCTAACTTAGGCTGTTTTTATGTTACTATAAGGCTGTTATTATTTCAGGTATGGGAGAATATAGGGAGATGCTCCCACCTAAGAAAAAAATGAAGCTTTTAGTTGTTGCTTAGTGTAGAGACATTCAATATATTGACTCAACATTATCAGTCAGCATTCCTGGACAACCTTGCTTCTCAAATAATCTTTTTAAATCCTGAAATTAAGCTTTTTGAAAATGACAGCTTGCACACTGCTTGACATAGCAAAATAAATGCTGGCTTTACTGAATACAAAATTCTATAAAGCATAAATTTTAAACGGTACATGGAATGATAAATTTGATTCCATGTGTATATTCCTATGTTCATACTAGAAAGTGCACTTTTTGATGTTGGAGGGCACATCAGAACAAATAAGTATTATTTTCTTCCTGAGAAGTGTTTACAGTGACATTCTTTCTGCCTCTAACTAGGAATGTTCATCTTAATATAATTGATTTTTATAGTTTACAGCTGAAGAATGCTTGATGTACTAATGCATTTGAACTGTTACTTAAATTCTTTAGACCAGGGCCTGTTTGCCATACAGTAAGGTAGCTTATACAGGTGCTTTTCATATACCATCTTGGTGTTTAACTTCAGGAATTTGCTGTCTGGTCATATCTGAAACCCGTCCCATCGGATGAAGCCGGATTTTGTTTATTTTAGCTCTTAATAAAAATGCACCTTTAGGATAAAATTATTTCTACCAATTTCAGTATTAGAGATATTTTACTGAAGGTGTATGGGTGTGCCAATAAACCTAAACCAGAGTCATCAAAAATAGCTGTTAATCATCAGCTACTGCTGTTAAGACATGGTCAGGAGCCTCTCTTCAGCTAACTGAAGCACAAATCTGATAGTTACAATTGGTTATTGCACGTTTTTCTGAAGTTCCACAGAGGAATTAAGTAGACCCATTTTCCAGTGACATTAATAGGATTATTATCAACAGTATGGTGGTGTGTGTTTGTTTTTCAAGAT